CCAGTGGCCCGGGGGGGTGTCAGTCAGGCGGGTGCCTGCCCGGGGAGGGAGCTGCGGGGTGAGTCACAGGCAGGAAACCGATTGCATCAGGAACGGGGCTGTTTTTCCAGCCGGGGATCTGGGAAAACCCCGCTCCAGCCTCCCCCCTCCATCCCCTCTCTCCCCAGCGACATGGAGAAGGGAGGCAGCCCCTCGGCCAGCAGCTCGGTGGCCTTGGCCTCATCCTCCACGGCCACCTTGAAGGAGGAACTACTGTGCCCCATCTGCTACGAGCCTTTCCGGGAAGCCGTGACGCTTTGCTGCGGCCACAACTTCTGCAAGGGCTGCGTGAGCCGTTCCTGGGAGCACCGGCACCACGTGTGCCCCGTCTGCAAGGAGGCCTCCTCGTTCGACGACCTTCGCATCAACCACACGCTCAACAACCTGGTGGAGATGATCCTGAAGGAGGAAGGGCAGCAGCAGAGCCGGGCGGCCGCCCTCTGCCCCCTGCATCACGAGGAAGCCCAGCTCTTCTGCCTGCAGGACAAGGAGTTGGTGTGCTTCGTCTGCCAGAGCTCCAAAGAGCACGAAGGGCACAAGATGCGGCCGGTGCAGGAGACGGCGGTGGATTTCAGGGTGAGGGATGCTCCAGGAAAGGGGGACCGATGGCACGGAGAGGCACCCCTGCATCTGAAGGGGTGCAGCCCGCTCACGCCCTGGCACAAACTTGCCGGCGCACGGCTTTGGCTCGTGCACGGCGTGGTTGTACTCGTCGGCGTGCCGGGATGAAAGCCACGCTGCGAGGGTGGGTCCCCACGGGAGTGCCCCTGCCGCATCGCTGCCCGACGCTCTCCCTGCCTAAGAATTACCCAGTGCCACCCCGCCCCCCGGGGCACGGCTGTTTGCCCTGCGGTAAAGGGGAGCGGGCTGATATTCCAAGGGGTTTGGCCCAGGCCCTGCGTTTCCTTGGCTCGTCCTCCGTGGGGCTGGGCTGGATCTGGCCATGCTGGTTATTGCAGCAGCTGGTTATTGCAGCAGCGCCTCGGGGTTGGGAGCGTGTTTGGGATGGGGGTTGCACAATTCCCCCAGCCGGGGAGGGATGCGGGCTGGGGAGACAGCCCCAAGCTCCATGGGGCAGGATGGGCCATGGCTGCACAGGGAGGAGGAGGAAGAGGAGGAGGAGACAGGCTCTGGCTGGCAGCCAGGCATCATGCCAGGACCTGCCGTGTTTCCCGGCCGGGAAAGCAGCAGCTGCCGCCCTGACTCAGCCTGCGGGGACGAGCCAGATTTCAAATGTCGCGGGGCGGCCATCGGGCTGCTGTTTTGCAAGGCTTGGCAGGCTGCCGGTGGCACCGAGCCTCCCTGGGAGCGGGGCAGTGGCTGCCTGCAGCACCGGGACAGGCAGGGACTTGACGCTGCATCAGTAGAAGGGCTTAAAAACAGGGGGGAGGATTTGCCACGGAGCAAAGCTCCTCTGCCTCGCTGCTTAGGGGCGGTGTGTTTGCACGGCCCTGCGCGGAGCTGACCCCGTGCAGCGCTGGCAGACCTCGGCTGCAGGAGGGGAAAGGGCGGATTGAGCAAGGATCCTGCTTAACCTCATCCTACTGGGTTTGGGGCTCTTGTCTTTCCGCACTGGAAACCCTGGGCGCGTAGGTTTGCGAGGGTCCTGAAGGCGTCTCCTTCCCGCAGGCCAAGCTGAAGAACATGGAGACCTCCCTGCGGGGTAAGGTGAAGGATTTCGGGGCCGTGCGTCGCTCCTACGAGTCCATCTCCAAACACAACCGGGTGCGTGGTCCCTCCTGGCAGGGAGGCAATGGGCCTGATCCTGACACATGCATGCACATGTGTGCACATGCGTGCACACGCGTGCACATGCCCCGGGCAGGAATGCAACTGGCTCTGGGGTGGAGTGCTGCACCCATCCTGGGCTGCTCCACCCTTAAGTGAGGAGAGCGATGCCGGGGGGAGGAAGGACTCAGATGGGGAACTGGGGGCCAGGGTGATGGGACTGTGCCTGCCGTGGCATCAGGGACATTGATTTTGGGAGGGCAGCATGGTCCTAGTGGGATATCGGCAAGTCCCTGAGTGCTGGAGCTGGTCGGAGGGCTCCGGAGGAGCATTTAGGGAGAGGATGGGGGAACCCAGGGGAGTTGGGGGCTCCGAAGGGAGGTGGTGACATCCCTACACGGGGCAGGTGGAAGCGACGCGGTTGGAGGAGCAGATCAGGAGGGAGTTTGAGAAGCTGCACGAGTTCCTGCGGGGCGAGGAGAAGGCGCTGCTGGCCCAGCTGCAGGAGGAGACGCGGCACAAGCACGGCCTCATCGAGGGCAAGGTGAAGCAGCTGGCAGAGGAGAGCCGGGCCCTGCTCCATGAAGCCCACCAGCTCCAGGCAGAGCTGAAGGAGGATGACTACACCTTCCTCATGGTAAAGCCCTGCTGGGGTGCTGCCCCATGCCCTGCGGGGTGTCACCCTCGCCGTGGCACCCTCCTGCCTCTTGCTGGGGTGCGAGCAGGGTGCTGGGCGATCCTTTGGGTGTTTGCGAGCCCCTGTGACCTCTTACAAGTTGGGGTCTGACACCCGGTGTCTCCTTCTCTTTCAGACCCACAAGAACCGCAAGCGCAGGTAAATCCAGCGCGGCAGGTCCCCGCCATGTCCCCTGCCCAGTGACACAGGGTGCTCGGGGTGGCTGAGGCCCCGCATCCCCTCCCTGGGGCTGAACAGGGTCTTCTGCCTGGCTGCAGAGTGAAGTCTCTGCCCCAAGCGAGTTCCCGTACTCGCCTGTCCCCTCTGGGTCTGGGTGCTCCGGCAGAAGAAGGTGCTGGGGGTCCCCAAGGCCAGGCGGCACCCCTGGGTGCCTCCGGGCAGGATGGGGGGACATGCATGCAGACACAAAGCAGCTTTGCAGGTCTTGGGGGAAGCTTTAAAACCCTGATGGTTGGGGGATTTGGGACCCTCCCAGCGTGATTCTCCACCCTCCTGGGGGGTGAGACAAGGTTTGGCAGATGTGGGGTGCTGGTGGGGAAGCCCCTGCCAAAACACAGGGTGCCAGGAGACCCAGCCCCGTCCCTTCCTCCATCGCTGACCTGTCTCCATCCTCTGCCCCAGGATCGCCTGCACGGCTGAGGAGCCGGAGGCCGTCTCCTCGGGGATGCTCCTCGACAGTGCCAAGTACCTGGGCTCACTGCAGTACAACGTGTGGAAGAAGATGCTGGACATCATCACTGTAGGTGAGGTGCTGGGTCCCCCCCCAAAAGGGTGGTTGTCCTAGGGCTAAAGCAGCCTTTGCGTGAGGCAGCCCCAGGGGTGGTGGGTGCTGGAGAGAAAAGGACCGTGGAGCAGCCGTACCTGTGGCTGATGGGCCTGGGGAAGGGGGTTGGAGAGCATAAAGGGTGCTCTGGGGCACTTGCACCCCAAAAAGGAAGCCCTGGAGGGTGCATTTCTCCATGGTGAGCTGGGTTAGGAAAGGATGGATGAGTGGATGCCTGCGGGGCTGTGGTCCCCCCATAAGCTCATCCCTGCAGCAAGCCGGGCTCCTAACGCGCATCTCCCCGCCACAGTCCCCTTCAGCTTCGACCCCAACTCCGCGGCGGGCTGGCTCTTGGTGTCCGAGGACCTCACCAGTGTCACCAACAGGGGCTACAAGCTGACGGTGGAGAACCCCGAGCGCTTCACCTCAGTCCCCTGCATCCTGGGCTCCCACGGCTTCTCCACCGGTTTCCACACCTGGGAGGTGGACCTGGGCGGCATCACGAACTGGCGGGTGGGGGTGGCCCGGCCACACGGTGGCACCCACTGGACCTTCCACCACGACGCTCGCTCCGGTTTCTGGTATATCTACCGCCTGCCCGGAAAGGACAGCGAGATGTGCCGAGCATCCAACACGGCGCGTTCGGAGGCGGCGCTGGGCGACCTGAAACGGATCCGGGTGGAGCTGGACTGCGACGAAGGGGAGCTCTCCTTCTACGACACCGACCGCAAGACCCACATCTACACCTTCCACGAGAAGTTCGGTGGCACCGTCTTCCCTTATTTCTACGTGGGGGGCGCGCCGGTGGGCGCGCTGCCCAACACGCTCCGCATCTGTCCCCTCCGGGTCCGCATCCACGAGGATGTCCCTGTCTAGTGGCCACCATCTCCTGCCGCCCCCGCCCCCGCCTCCACTCGGTCACCGCCTCTGCCTGCATTTGGGGTTCTCCAGATGCTTTTTCAGCTTTCGTTTAAAAAAAAAAAAAAAAAAAAAGTCTTTATGTACTGCCTCTTTTTTTATCATTAATAAACACTCTGGTCTTCTGGTATGGTCTCTGTGCCCAAATCGCCCCAGCTCTTTTCCTGCCCCTCTCCGTCACGGATCAAAGCTGGGGAGGCCTCGGGGAAGAAGGTATCATCTCCCTGCCGGGGGGCTGTAAATAGGAAATTAAACCATCTGGGGGCTTTCCAAGCTTCTACAAGTGCTGCAGCTCGCAGGGCTCCAAGTCTCCCTGCTGTGGATAAAGCAGGGGACGGTGGCCCTTGCCCTGGCGCCTCGGGGACGGGAAAATTCCAGGTGGCTTGGCTGGACGCGGGCAGAAGCCCGTGTTTCCCCTCTACCAGAAAAACCATTAATGGGGACATCCTTGAGAGTAACAACCCATCTCCTCTGACCCTTCTCCCCATGACTTCACCCCTCTGAGGGGCTTTTCTGTAAATCCCCAGCTCCGGGAGTCAGGTGACGACGTGCAGTTGGTCTTCGGAGGTGTCGGAGGCTCAGAGGTGGGATGGGGGAGACAAAAAAACCACCCTCTGCAACCCCCTGCTAGGTCTGGCCTGATATCAATCCTGCCAAAAAAGCTTTTTCCTCCATCCCAGTGAGCACTTGGGGTTTAAAGGTGATGGCCCTGGGGAAAGGGAGGGTGCCTGGTGGGCCGTGCTGGCTTTGCCGCCCTCGCTGCCGGGCGCAGCCCAGCCGGCCAGGACCTCGCTGGCAGGATGCTGATATTAACGGGTGGTTTCCATGGTTTCTCACCGTTTGCATAGGATGCTCCTTAGGAACAAGAGCTGGTGGCGGAAAAACAAAGGGGAGATGTTGGAGGCGTGCAGTGCGGGGGCGACCCCAGGGGTCCTCCGCCTTCGTTACGTCGGCTGACGTTATCTATTTCCATCCGAGCATCCCTGGATACGGGGAAAGGAGGAAAATCGGCACGAGCGCCCCATCTCCCGCCCCGCACCGTATCCCGACGCTGCCCATCACCCCCCCAAAAAGCTGGCGGTGCCTGGAAATTTGGGCATCCCGCGGGCAATTTAGGCAGAAGCAAGGCGTTATTTGGGAACAATAAAAAGCCGGGGAAGCTCTTTGAGTTGCCGGGGCTGGAGCAGGATGAGGCGTTTCTCTTTGTCAGGTCCGAAGGGAGCATTTCCCTCCCACGGCTGCCAGTGCCAGAGCAGGTGCCTGCCGTAAAAATGGCAATAAAGGGTGAAATGAGGCATCGCTTTGGATGGCGAAACCGCAACGTTTGGACTTTTTTCTGAATCATCTGGTGAAAAATTGGTTTGCAGGAAACAATATGAATTAATGAACTGGTTGGCTCCCTAAGACTCTGCATTTTTTAGTGTAATAAACGGTACCTGCATCTTCCCCTGAGCTTAATTTCATTCCCACAGAGGCAGAGAAATGGCTTTAGGTGGCAACCAAGGCAGCGAAGCTGTTCCTCCCACCGACCTCTCCTCCGGAGCTGGCCCGGGAGACAGCACCCAGCCTGCAGCCATGGGTGATGTCTCCCCGGGACTGAGCATTTGCTCGCACATCCGACGTTGGAGGACTAATTTGGGGAACGCTCCGGTAAGGGGCAGGCAGGTTTCGCGTGGGACCCTCCTCTGCAGCCATCGTGTCCTTCCCCGATGCCTGAGATCCTGCCTGGGACATGCCAGTTACTTGCAGGACCTTTTCCGAGGTCAAACCTTCCTCCTTGCAGCAATTAGAATGATCTCATTTTATTATTATTATTATTATTATTATTATTATTATTATTATTA